AAAAAAAAAAAGTGAGACGGGTTCCGAGTTTGGCTTGGCAGGTTTGATAAACGAGCCAATAACGAGTTAAAGAGACGGGCTCGGCTGGACTGGACTCGTTAAAGCTATAATTTTCTATAGTTGAGCTCGTTAATGAATAATGCCCAAGCTCAAAACTTGTTAATATTGATACACAAGCCGAGTTCAAGCTCGGTTATTGGCTGGTTTAGTTAAACGGTGCGAGCTTTTGCCGGTGTAACTGAAAAACAGAGCAAAAGAAAATCTAAATACACTATTATTATTTGCATAACAAACCTTCCATTCTTGATAAATGCTTTCTCATTTTCCTCTCACACCCTCTGCAATGCAAAGACACTCTCAGAACAACAACCTGCACAAAATCAAACCAAATAACTAAAAATAAATAAATAAAAAAACACAAAAAAAAACCCATAAAAACCAATGTTCTGAAAACCGGACCGGACGGGTCGGTTCATATATTCAAGAACTATTTTAGACTGAATGAAAACCTTTTCAGTGCAGCAATCTGCTAAAGATGGAGACTTTGCTGCATTCACCTTCTTGGGCTCATCAGGGAATATCTTTTGGGCCGGGCCCAAATCCGATAAGTTCTCAAACAACACGTTTTCGCCCAGCAAGTACCTAGTCGAGCCCGGCGGGCTTATGAACCCGCCGGGCCCGGTAAAATTCCAGTTGCAGGTGCTTTTCTTCAATACAGTAGTAATTTTCAAGTTCGATTCTTTAACTTCGGGCTTTCGAGTATTTTCCTTTGGTGGGATGGTTTTCTGTTTGTTATTAGTAGCGTTAATGCTGTTTTTCTTCTTGCTCTTGTTGGGGACACGTGGCGGTGGGTGAGTGGGCGATGAGACGGACCGCCGGGAGTCGGTGATGATGGGATTGTGGCGGTCGATGGCCGGGCTGCGGCTGAGCACGGCGGAGGCTGAAAAGGAGGAGGAAGAAGAAGAAGGTTCGTCCATGGTGAGGCAAATGGGTTTTGAGGTTTGTGATTGGGCAAAGTATATATCTATTCTTTTTGTTTTTTTATTAATTAATACATATTTTTTGTTATATAAATTTTAAGGGGGTGTTTTGTGGTTATTTGAACAAGCAGTAGTTCTCCAAGACACAGTTCGGTTCGGTTCAATAAAACTTTATGCAATTGAGCTCGAAAAACTAATATACTAGTGATTAAATGAATCGAGCCGAACTCGTTTATTTTTTTATTACTTTTTACGAGTTTAAACGAGTCGAGTCGTTCCAAGCATGCTCGTTGACTGATAAATTGGTGCTGAATAATGGCTCGTTTACAATTTTAAACTTGTAGTTGAGTCAACTCGTTTATTAAACAAACATGAGTTCGAGTACGAAGCGCTCGTCTCTATATTTATTTTATTTTTTTCAACAGTAATTTATCCATTTTGTACAGTTGGCAACTGGCATGGCCTAGAGGCCTGACCATATATAAATGTTGATTTTTGAGAGCTAAAGTTCAGATTTGTTATATATATGTTGGATAAACATACACAAGTTAGAGTAATTTATCTCATTTATGGGTACAAAAGGACAAATTGTACAGTGGTGAACAAAATTTTGCAGAGTTATATATTTTGGAGTCTTGTGTGACACCCAATCTAAGGTGGTTAGATTGGAATCTATTAGGACCAATTTGATATAGAAAATAAAACTACTTGTTCATTGATAATATTTTAAGTCTAATGTGCCATTATTAGTGTTTATGTTTTATCCAATTCAACTCTCATAATTTTTATGTACGTAGTTAAATAATATCAATCAATCATTCTCACTCACTGATATAGCCACACTGTCGTATAACGGTTCATACCATCACGGTTCAGAAATTACCAAGTCGACTTACGCAAAGTCGACTCTGTCCGCAGATTCTTGGTGATATCTCCGGTCAAGGGTCCAGGCATTTCTCTCAGTCGACTTCCACATGTCGACTAGCATAAGTCGATTCCCTCCGGGAAGATGGTCAAGCGCGTCAGGGTCTACTGACGATTGAAGATGACCCAGTCGACTCGAGTTGATATCCCAAGTCGACTGAGGAAGTCTCGAGGCTCATAGATCTCGACGACTCTAGTACACTTCAACATATCATAGGAAAATTGTCAATGATAAGAAGGAAGCTACTAAGGATAAGAATGAATCTAAATGCTGACTAGGAGGGGGACGGAATGCGAACCGACCAGGGTATTTTGGAAATTTCCAGTACGTCGGTCAGGGCATTTTGGGAACTTCAGGTAAATGTCTTGCTTCTATATAAAGGAGCTGAGGTAACCCCAAAACCCTAACTCCCATTCATTCCATACTCTCCTCCATTACTGCTGCTGCTTTCTCAGAGCAGCTCTCTCCATCTCTCTCACATACTGACTTGAGCGTCGGAGGCTCTACGCCGGAAACCCCTCCGGCATTGAGTTCTTGCAGGTTTTCTTGCGGTCCAGTAGCAGTTTGAAGGTGACAACGACAGATTTGAGCCCATTCTCATCGATTCGTTCTAGATCTGAGCCCATTTTCATCGGTTCACTCCATATCTGAGAGGAGACCCATCACTCACTATGCATTCGCTCGCATAATTTTAACTATCTATCACTTTCAATAATATATCTCCAACTTTTACCTCTCATCAGTTTTAATTATTATGTTTTAAATATTATTTATTGCATACTCAAAATCACACACTCGATTAACTTTATTCAAAATAAATCATTTTAACCAATTAAATTAGATCATAAAATCCGTATCCAATTAAGCTCTAAATGTCCTATTCTACCCCAGTTAATGTTGGTTGAAAACATAAGCATCACAAATACATTTAATATATGAATCAGTAGGTATAAATATGAAAGAATGGTTGGGAAAAAAATATGTACTCATTAGTCTTATAAGTTTATATTAATGTAGCACAATATACAAAATTTTTCACTCAAAATTCCATTCAACTCAACTTCATTATTAATATAAATAAATAGTACAATTCAATTATTCTTACTCATCAGATTTACTTTAGGTCACTATTCATCTACTCACATAGTTTTAACTAACCATCATTTCATATAATCGCTCTCATACTTTTACATCAAATCAACTTAAATTGTTTTATTTTAAATATTACTTTAATGTAAATCTAAAATCTCATTAACAACTAATCATACCATCTTTTTTCAAATTAAGTCCAGTTAACCAAAAAATCCAATTTGAGTGAAAAAATTTGTATACAAACATGCTCCCATCTCTTATTTTTTTTTAATCAAGTTTCTCCCCTTTTTAAATTAATTTGTTTCTATTGTTGTAAGCGAACTCAACAAGGATTTAAGATTTTGTGCTCGTGTTCAATTATGTTTGACGAATATCGTGTTCTTTCGTGTGTTATTCGAGAAAACCCGTATTCGTGCTCGTTCTTTTAATTCATGTTCGAATAAATCAGTAGACAAGCATTGATAACTCAATATCTATTAGTTTGAAATCATTCAGTCTTAAGAAAAAAAATATCATTCTGCATAAATTTTCATCAAAAATGTTCATACAAATATAAAAATAAAAATAATATATCAAATTGAACTCCTCAAACACTACCAAATAGACTCGTTTTTTTTTTTTTTTTTGTTGGAGCTCGATTCAATTAACAATGAAAGAGCTTTTATTAAACACAAACGAGTTCGAACGAACTTTTATTTGCAAATTTTCGATTCATTTACAACTCAATCTATTCTCTTGTACTTTAGTCTCATCATTGTAGTCTTGAAAATTACCAATAAACAAACGAATTGTACTGTCTAGCAGTAGTGTAGGCCGCATGCTGTTGGCTATGCACAAGACAACATAATTTTTTAGATAAAAATTAATAAAAATGAAAAATTATTGTAGCAAGTGGAATAGCCACTATTAATAAATCATTCACCTTGAATTGTGTGC